TTAAATTTTAGTTCAAGGTTCCAAACTATTATCTTGGTTAAGTGAACTTTGCAAAACATTTTTTCAAAATTGCTTATTGGCATTTAACATTGAAGTAATTTAAACTGTACCCAACCAGAATATTGAATGCTTGTGTGCAATATTTATACAGAAGTATTAAGAGGCTTAATCTGCCAATAAAATATGAAACTTTTCAATAAAGGTTAAGAAGGTTTGACCGATTCCTGAGAGTTTTAAAAAAATCCGGGAGTTGTTTTAGAGAAGGTTGTAAAGGATGTTTTATTGTGATACATCTGGTAAAGCGAGAACTATAAGAGCTTTTAAGTCAGAGCAACATAAACCTTTACAATCCAACAGAAAACTAGATAAAATGAGCTCTGATAAGAAGTTGTAGATTGCATTTGGAGTCGTTATAGTTTGTTCCAGCAGCTCAAGTACTGCTATCTGTCCAGATATTTTGTGCGTGACTCTGCTTCTAGGTGTCCAAGATTTGTAGGCTTCTCTCAAAGGAGGCCAGATTTCTGGGTGGTGAAGTGCCCACCTATTCAAGGTATTTCAGCTTTTGCAGAAGTGAGCAAGGCATTCACACATTGAATGTTCTGTAGTTTCTGTTGCTTGTTCGCAAGATCTACAGTGATCGTTGTGTGATTTGCCTAATGTTTTAGGTGATATTTTGTAACGATTAAATAATACACAACGTATATTTGAGTTAAATAAAAAATGATATATTCACTCAAGAACACACTCACAAATGATGCGTCAAGGAGTACCGAAAGTCAGAAAAATTGTCTCTAAAAAGTATATTACTGGTCTCGTTCTGGTACTTGAAACTGGGTTGGCATGAAGAAACTTCGTGAAAGCATCTACTGCTACTATCAAGTATGCATTTTTCCTCCTTGTCTTCACAAACGGTCCAACATGATCAATGTAAAGAGTATGCATTGGAATTGGTACCTTTTCTATTTTATGGAGAAATCCCTCTCGTTTACCTGTAGGTGCTTTGTTGTATGCACATTGTAGACAAGCAGAAATATAGCGATCCACATATTTTCGCATTCGTGGAAACCAATAATTACTACCCATGTTTTTCAGAGTTTTTTCGGTCGCAAAATGGCTCACATTGTCATGATGGCACATTGTCACTACGCTTTTGCCCACCTTGGGAACGTACCATCGTAAACCAGCAGATGTTTTCCGATAAAGTTTATTGTCTTTCAGCGAGTAATCTTTGTGAACCTGTTTTTCGTCATTGTTTACTGGTTTCCTCAATAATATTTCAATCAACTCCTTGCATGTGCTATCTTTAAGTTGCGCTGATAACACCCAATGATCTTGTGTGATATCTACTTGAAAAATATCAGTAATTTCTGATCTTCCATAAGGTTCATCTTCTGCAATTGGGTTTCGGCTCAATGCATCCACATATGACATTTTTGTTCCTTGCCGATACTCTACACTGAAATTTAATTCTTGGATGGAAATCCACTACTGTGCAATGCGCGTAATCAGAACACGCTTTGACATTGCAGTTCTCAAGCAGTCAGTTATTACTTTGAACGATAGCCTTAATAGGTATACTCGGAACCTCTGTAACAAGCAAACCACTGCTAACGTTCCGACTTCATATACGAGTGATACTTTTCTTCTTCCTTTGCGAACTGTCGGCTGAAGAAAAATACTTGCTTTTGGTTGCCACCTTCCTGTTTTTGTAACAAAATTCCACCAAGCCCAATTTTCGATGCATCACTGTGGACCTCTGTTTCTAACCCAGGATCATATAGGGCAAGTATAGGTCTCTTGATCAAAACTCCTCCAAGTTTCGCAAAAGCACCATCCTGCTCTATACCCCAGTCAAATTGTACATCCTTTTTGGTAAGGGAGGTCAAAGGGCGGGCAATTTGTGCAAAATCTCTCACATATTTCCTGAAATAGCTGCATATACCGATGAATTGTCGAAACTGGTGCACATTTTTTGGAACAGGAAATTTCTCTACTGCAGAAATCTTCGAAGTACCGGGTCGGATACCGGCAGCACTAATCTCATGTCCTAAATAATCAATTTGCTCCTTAAAGAAATTACATTTTGACAGTCGCAAAATGACACCTGCATTTCGGAAGGTTTCAAATACATCCCCAAGAGCAACCAACCCAGACGCAACGCTAGGAGAAGGAACCAAGATGTCATCCATGTATGCTAAGGCAGTAGAAAATCTCATATAGCCTGGGATCTAGTTAATCGTCCGTTGAAACACCGCTGGAGCATTTACTAATCCGAACGGCATCCTTGAATATTCGTAGTTACCATAAGGAGTTACGAATGCTGTTTTTTCTCGGGAGTTCTCCGCCATTGGTATTCGGTGGTAACCGCTCGCCATGTCCAAGGTTGTAAAATACTTGCATCCCTTTAAAATCTCTAAATGGTCGTCCACTCTTGGTAAAGAATAACAGTCTTTAATTATTTTTGCGTTAACAGCGCGGTAATCTACGCACATGCGTGTTTCGCCAGTTTTCTTCTTAACCATTACAATTGGGCTTGAATAAGGCGATCTGGACTCTTGTATAATATCGGCTGACAGTAGTTCATCAGGTAACTATTTTGCGCACCTTCTCCCTTTCATGCATAGAAAGTCTATATGGTCTATATGTCACAGAATTTTCACAAGTTAAACGAATTTCCATTTCCGCGGATCCAATGTGACCTTGTTCTTTCCAATTTTCTGCAAAACAATCGCGATACTTCTTTTGAAACATTTAAAATTGGAATTTTCAAATCTCCTGAAGACCTGGGCAGAACATATTCTTTGGCTGGTTCAAAACGTTGACATAGGTCTACAAAAATATCACCTTGGTTGTCATTCTTCATCATACAACTCACCAGCCCTATGTGGTTTGGGGAAATTTTAGTGGAAACAGTTGCCATCAAAACTATCTTTTTAGGTGGAAGTTCATGAATTTTTGTTGTCAGTTAAACCACTGCTGAGAAGTCTAACAGTTCCTTCGCAAACTACTGTTATCGCATCACTTTTATTCAAAACTGACCTACCAATTAAAACTGACATGTTCTGCGATTGATTGGGCACAATAAAGAGTAAAGTTCCAACTTCCAATAAATCTTCTCTTGGATTCGTTTTGCTGGAATATTTGCTTCTTCCTCGCCCAGTTTTTGATTATATTCAAGGCTCTTTGCATTCGACCTGTTATTTTGCCTTCATGGCTTGCCTCTGATTATTACAGCCATCTGCGTAGCCTAGAACAGTTATTTCGACATTGGTTAGTCTGGTAAGGATGCTATCTGCCACTAGTATCCAAAGAAATGGCGAAATGATACCACCCTGTGGGCAGCTTTAACTGTGATGACAGTAACTTTTCCGCCATTCAAGTCCGCCGATACTAATCGATGTTTTAGCATAGCTTCTATCTATTCTATAACTCTATCCTCAAGAACTTTTTTGATAGATCGGTGTGACGTGTTATCAAAGGCACCCAGTATATCTATAAAAGCTGTAGGAGCCATTTTTTTTGCCTCAAGTACCTTTTCTATGTCTGTTACTAAACAATGCAGTGCACTTGTTGTGGATCTGCCTGCTTGGTAGGCAATTGTCTTGGATACTGCGATCTGCTATTTAAAATTTCATTTTTGATATATTGGTCTATTGCTTTCTCATAGGATTTCGGTTCTTACTCTGCCATCCTGCATGGTAAGAATGTCATGCCAGACTCACTCCAGGCTAGTGGAACATAACCCAGAGTTAGCCTAGATTTGAATATTATTTGAAGGTGTTCCTCTAGGATATTGCAACGCTTTTGCAGCAGGACTGGAAAGATACCGTACTTTCCTAACTTATATGGCTCAAAGCTGTCTATCGCCTATTTTATTCTGTTTTGCGTGAATGTTCTTTCTGCCAGCCTCTAGCCTCTTTCGTTGGAGCGATTGCCTTGCTATGAGAGCCAAGCTGGTTCTGAGAATTTTCCACAAGTGATTCCGGACAGTATGACCTCTAGACTTTCTTTGTGGATATATTTGTGAAACATTTCAAAAACATTTTCTGTACATTTCCAAATCAAACTTCAGTCACAAATGTTGTCTGTATCTTTTGAAAATATTTTATTAGCATTGTTCAAAAAATATTCAAATCAAATGTTCGAAAAATAACTAACAAAACAAATCAAGAAAAATTTTACAAAATTCAACATAGACGCAATACCTAACGAGGAAGATAGAGAAAATGGAAACTTCAGCAGCTTGAGAAAATTATTGCGCAAGTCTTTACAGACATCTCTTTGTAACATCTGTGGAAGAAATATTTCTGCTGAAGTCTTAACACTCAAGAAATACATACAGAGAAGAAATTCCATAAGTTTTTCATCCAAAAGGGAAGTTCGCTTCTATTTGGAGGATACTATGACATGCTTGACATGAAAGTAAAACCTAAATATGTACTACTAAAAAAAAAGCATCAACACCTCTCATCATGTACACGGATGCACGTATAACAAGCTTACACAATAATGCCTGATGAATAAAAATAATTTTACCCATTGGAGCCCAAAAGCGATTAATGAAAGTAAAAATAATAGTTTAATTGTTACTTTATTTATTATGCAATGATACAATAATATATTATCCGTTCACAATCCGATGTCCACAGGTAGGTACAGGTAAAATCACCTTTCAATGCTTTTTGATAGGGAAAAGTGATAAATTTACCTGCACCTGTGGACATCGGATTGTGAACAGGATATATGCCATTACACATTTCTACCAAAGTTTTTAATTTGTTGTTTTACCTGTAGCTTAAAGCTTATTCCATCTTCCTGTTGTGAATCAATATAAATGAAGACGTTACATAATATAAAATGATGCCCATTGCATTGCATTTTAATTATTGTTATTGGTCTATTGAAAAACACGACAGCATCAAATCATGGTGTCATCCTATAGTTAACTAATTTTAGAAGCTGACTTTGTTTAAATTAAATAAATTTTTCTTTTGTTCCAGATCATCCTTCAACAATGCTACTACACAACTCTCAGACATCTTTATCCTTAACGTGACTATCCACGATTAACATAACCCTGTATTATTTACGAATATAGTAAAATTTCAACCCTCTGCAATTAACTTATTCCTGGACAAAATGACTGAATCCACCCCAATATGCCGCTGCAGGGTTCTCTACTTGGGATCCAGCGTACCACATCAGACAAAAGACGGACTTCAGGGTATCCAAGAACCATTACAGGAATTGTATCCCGAACAGGTAATAATTTTTACTATATGTTAAATAAATTCCTATTTTAGTAACCTCTAAAATACTGGTATGTACATAATAATTATTGTACCTACTGGTATTGAAATTTTAAGTAACCTTAGCTATAAATATAATGTTTATCGTTAATAAGTCAGAAAACCTTGAATGCAATTTACGTTTGATTTTAGGAAGTAATTAATTTATAAATAATATAAATTTGTTTAGGGTGCTACTGGAGCTAAGGGAATCGACAGCTGGCTAAGTGTTTGGTCCAATGGAATCCTCTTAGAAAACGTCGATGAAAATCACAAGAAAATCACTAGATTTTTTCCTATTGAAAGTTTGCACTATTGCGCTGCAGTAAGGTAAGAGAAAAGTAAATTAATTCTTGTCACTTGGGATAACTACGCCCCAAAAAAATCTATGCAATAATAAAATCTTTGCATTGATCAGCGTCGCGTAACGAAATAATTTTGTAACACAAAAATGTTAGTCACGCATTTAAAAAAAAAAAAACTGGTTCAGTTCAAAGTAATACGTACAGAAAATGAATGTCTTGAAGTTTGATTTGCTATAGTTATAATAGAAAGGATTGAATATAAAAACAAAGTAAAGTAAAATATAGATAGAAAGAAATATCATGTTGTTTTTTAATTATATGATTTTTATTTAGATATTTATAAAAATGTTGTCATCCTTAATTCGGATATGACATGTTTTTATTTACCCTTGCATAAATCAGATAAATATGCACCATCTTAGAGGTCATCTGTCTTCTTCAAGTTGTTTTTTAATTGCGCTGAATTTATCATGTAAAAAAAAATTCTGGCTCTATGAAGATGAAGAACAAAGCAAAGATGTCTCATAAGATGCAGTCAAAACCTTGAACCTGGGACCTAAAACCAAAGATGGTATACTGCCTATATATATCACAGTTATCAGACTGATGATAACTATGGTGGCCAATAAAGACTGAGCAAAACACGACTGTCATGAGATTTAACCGTCAACAGAGGCTGGCTAGCTTGTGCATCTAGAGAATAAAAACGGCAGGAGTCTGGAGGCCACAGCCCAGCAAATACGGACACAAAATAGTCAATAGTGACACATGTCATAGACAGCGAACTATTGGAAATGAGATCGGATCACATGACGTCGACTTACAACTTTGAAAGACCGCATGGGATCAAGTGCTATCTCAACATGCGGAATAAGAAAACGTTCCCCTATTTCTGGATAGACAGGTAATGTACACCGACCGCTCAAAAACGACAAACGGAGTGGAAGCTATTGCTGGAGGAATATATGGAGAATGACCCAAGATGAATGTCAGCATATCACTGGAAAATGAAACCACTATAGGTATATCAAATGTCTACGCTATTAACGAAGATAACTTGCTACCCATGCTAGAAGAGGATCTGTAAGGCCGAATGATTCAAGTTTGCTCATAGGGATAATGTGGTCAACTGTGTCGAAAGCTTTCTCAAAATCAAAATAAACTGAGTTAACCTGATCCCCTGAATCAATAGCTGCAGAATTAGGGGTATGTCCTCTGGTCGGGGATTCTAAAATCACGATTCGACATACGACTCGACAGCGAGACGATTTTCCCGACGATTCTAGGTTAGAAATCTCATTGGAATTATACCTTTCGAGACGACAAGGCCGGTATCGTTGTCAAGTCGTCTGTCGAATCGTGATTTTAGAATCTCGGCCCTGGTCCTACTCCTTTATTATCATCTAATCCAATGAGTTTTTGAAGCACAATGTCGCAATTAATCTTTGATATCTCAATCATCAGCGAAAAAGGGCCGTCATGATCAATTGGTCAAGTCACTAGGCTGTTTGGTCGTCTTCTCTCTGGCGACATAGATGGATATTTAAAACTCCTTCTCTAGCTTGCAGAGTCTCCTACCAGTTCGCAATTGGCGTTTTACGGGTATCATTTTCCGCTCTACTCGGGCGTCAAGCCTTGATTAATCTCTTGATCCTCCAAATTCACACGTCGTCGGTCTTTAAAAGGAAATCCAGCACTTTTTCTTTCGTCAATCATCTGGGTAACTTTTGCGTGTTGGCTTCTCAATTCTTCTGCAATGTCTGCAATGAGTATATCTATTGGTTATCCACGAATTATCGTGTAGAGAAGCTCTCTTCCTGGGAATTGGTAATTGAATTACCGCTTCTTTACAGGATCCATTGATCAAAGTCCTATAATCTTCTGTGGTTTTGAGATATATTTTTGTGCTCCACCCAACCACTCTGACGTAGTCGAATCCGATCTCAAACATCTTTCCTTCGCTTGCGCGGCATTTATCCGGGGTATGACCGTTTCAGCGGATTTGTTCGAGCTGCGTGTTTTAACGCTCTTGATCCAAAATAGCATCCACCCTCACCTCTATATCCTCTATTGCTTTCATCTTCTTGTCTGACATCTATGGGCTTCTGATTGTAGTTCTTCGTGGAATTCGAGTCGACAATCTGACATTATTGACCAAGAATGGGTTATTAATAAATAATCTCAACTTGTCGAGTCTGATAAAGCTTCCATGTAGAGAAACATATTAATAAATTAGTGGAAATCTATAATAAGAATGAATTCTCTATTTTCCAAGTCTAGATTTCAATTTCATTCAAATTTATTGAATCTCGGTTAAAAATCGTGTTCTTTCAGAACCAATCGCCCATCGTTCTCTTTCTTCTCTCTGCTGGATGCAAACAGCTCCATGACGTCAAAGACACATATGTTTTACTTGCGAAGCGTGTTTGAATCTTTCGTGCTTTGTATCTTGAATTTGCAGCAACTTAAGAGGAAAATTGTTATTTTTTCAAGATTTTGTAAAGGAAAATCCTTACGAAATTAAGATTTAGGGTTTTACTGGTGATTTCACACATTCTATGCTAGTCTAGTTTTATGTTCAGAGTACAAAATGGATGAATAATTATTATATTGGAATCGAAAATTGTAATTGTACATCTACATCGAAATTATAATGGTAAAAAATAGTAGTCATTTTCCAATAAAACTCTATGTACTGGGAACTGGGACTGTGAGACAATGACAAATAAATTTTATCTACAAGCGTTTGGTTATAAAGTTTTTACATAACCATTTTTCTAGTATTTGAGTTATGTCATGAGACTCATAACACAATTAGTGGTGTTATGGACTAGGTTATGAATTCATAACACAACTAGTGGTGTTATAGACTAGGTTATGAATCCATAACATAACTATTTCTGGTGATTTGACAAACGTCAATGTTACACCTGTGAAGGTAAAATCAAGGTAGACAACTACTAATAAACGGAAATAATTGAAAAAACATTCTTATTTTTCGCTTTGTAGATAAAACGCGTGTAAATGTTGTGGTTCTATTTGTTTCCTCCACTTATTTGTTAGGTGGACAAAATGAGAGACTGGCTTATTTTTTGCCTGGTTTATTATTTTTTCTTGCTTGTTGCTGCCCCTTGCTTTTCTGACTTCTCTTTTTTTACAATAGTTCTTAATAATAATTGTTTTACAATACCATAGAGACATACTTCAAAACTTGCCAGACTCCTTGATCAATAAAAAAAAAAATTACATTTGACAGCCTTCACCTCTCTCCCATCAATATAGCGTTTTCAAAAGTAACACGGGAGCGAAAATTTAAATTCGAATATTAAATATTTGGGCAATACGGAACATATCGCCGCCCTTGAAAAGACGAAGTCTCTTTCAACAAAGAAAAGAAGTTCCTACATAAACTGATCTAAGACAAAATTTTAGCAAAGGAGCAGCCTTAAACTAGTTTACAAATTTGCTGTAATTTCAGTACAATACATACAACTAATAATAATTAGTAGCTTATGAAGTTTTTTTGAAAGGCAGATAAACTTATAAGCAATTAAAACTAATAACATTTTTTTTTAAATGCAAATGATGGATGAAAAACTATACAAAGCAAAATTCAATTAAACAAAGTATACAAATTCAAAAATATTGGAAAGTCACATTAGAAACCCAAAGTCAATTTCATGGAATATGAAAATAACAAAGGACTTTATTTATCCTTCTTGAGAAGAATCTATAGGCAATAAACAAACTTTTGTTAGAGCCCTTTTTAAGACACTGCCACTTTTGGTTTTGACACTTATCACACGCACTATGCTGTCTTTACCAGGATGGACATCTGTAATTCGAGCCAGTGGCCATTGTAATGGTGGTATGTTTTCTTCAACAAGTATCACTAACGATCCTATTAGCTTATGTGGATTGGATTCGTTACTACGCCATTTCGTACGTTGCTGTAAGTTATGCAGGTATTCAATTCTCCAGCGGTTCCATAAATCTTGAGTTAACTTTTGAAGATGTTGGTATCGCTTGAGGAAACCAATTTTGGGATCAGTATAATTTTCTTGAGGCAATGCGTTTAGGGGCTGGCCGATCAAGAAATGTCCAGGACTTAATGCTTCAAGGTCAGATGGATCCTCGGAAAGGGGAATGATGGGACGGGAGTTTAAAATAGCCTCCACCTTTGTAAGCACAGTGATAAATTCTTCATAAGTTAAAGGTATTGGACCTACGATTCTTTTCAAATGATGTTTAAGGGAATTGACTGCTGCCTCCCAAAGCTCACCAAAATGGGGAGACCGAGCAGGTATAAAATGCCACTGAATATAATTATAAGTTAAAAAATTTATGACTTTTTGATTTTTTAAAAAATCTGAAATCCTGCAGAGTTCATTATTCGCATCTATAAAAGTGGTGCCGTTATCGGAAAAGATGTCGTTGCAAAGTCCGCGCCTGGATACAAAACGCTCCAGAGCTGACAGGAAATAGTTAGAGGATAATTCGCTGACCAATTCAATGTGACAAGCTTTAGTTGACATGCACACAAAAATGCAAACGTAAGATTTAATTATTTTGCGATTTCGGTATTTTCCATCTTTCATTTGGAACGGACCTGCATAGTCCACGCCAACTTGACTAAAAAAAAGGATTGAGAAACACGTACAGATGGCAGAGCTCCCATTAAAGGTTTGATAATTTTTGGAGAGACTCTGAAACATCTTATGCATTTATGTAAAACGCGCCTTACAGTTTGCTTACCATGAATTGGCCAATAATTTTCTCTTAAAAATGAAAGAGTAGCTTGAATTCCGGGGTGTAGGTTCATTATATGTATGTCTTCAATAATTAAAGTTGTGAAAGGATGTCGACTCGGTAACAGTATCGGATGTTTATGGTTATATTCGAGGGCTGAATTGTTCAATCTTCCCCCTACTCTTAAAATATTTTCTGAATCTAAAAAAGGGCATAAAGATATTAACTTGTTTGAATTTTCTAACCCTTTGTTACTCGTAAGAATTCGAATTTCCT